TTCAAAGGCCATCGCTAATTCTTGCAACTAATCTACTTGCAGGCTGATCAGTTATAGTATTGATTTTGCAGACATAAAAAAAAAGATGCTATGACACTCAATGTTTTTTTTTACATGGTTTCTGAAAATGGGGGTAGTATTGTAGATTCCAAACTACTGTATTGGCACGATTATAGGGTGATCTCCAATATAAGGCAACCCCCATTTTCAGAAACCATGTAAAAAAAAACATTGAGTGTCATAGCATCTTTTTTTTTATGTCTGCAAAATCAATACTATAACTGATCAGCCTGCAAGTAGATTAGTTGCAAGAATTAGCGATGGCCTTTGAGCAAACATCTGGCACAGTTGCATAGACAAATGCTATCTGGACATTCAGGAATGTGACAGGCTAGAGTAGGGGGAAGGGGCCTTTGGTTTCTGAAAATGGGGGTTGCCTTATATTGGAGATCACCTTATAATCGGGCCGATACAGTAGTTTGGAATCTACAATATTATCCATTACACTAGAGACTGAACTACTAAAAATAAAGAGGAAGGGTAAAGCCAAATATGTAGCACAACTGGCAAAACAAGTAGGATTACATCTATGGCATTATTCATTGTACTTTTGGACTGTTTAATAAAAAAATATTTATATCATTAGAAGAGAAATTATGCATGTCAAATATGGTATGTACATATAAAAAATTTCTCACCTTCTCCAGTTTGAATCAATAGGTGGAGATAAGTATGCTTGACCTCCACTTGTCAATATAAAATCATTCATCTGAAAAAAATAATAAGATTGGTTTGTTTTGGATATTCATGCAAAGCTACAAAAGAACTATCTGTGCTGACAATCTCTAACTTTGAACTGACAGACTAGTGTCCACAGTCAATTAATAGGCTATTCTAATCAAACAGTGGCATTTGAACATCAGGTTTTTTGGGGGGTTTTCCAGTAATGGAACACAAACCATGGACCCTGGTATCCATAATCCTGTGTGTTAATCAAAAGGCCTAGTCCAGCCCAAAATTCAATAAAAGTTAATATTTTTATTGAAATTACAACTCATCAGCTACTACTCCAATTTTACCTTGACATTCAACAACAGTTTTGTATACACAGCAAAACAATATCAAATGTATAAGTGTAAGCAAATGCTATATTGGCCATTTATTTTTATTATTAACGGGAGATTTTGTGGTATCATACAGGTATTTTCTACACGCACACTCACACATGCATATATATATGTATATATGAATTCACTCCACCTGCTTGCTTATGACTATATGACTTTTCTGTAATAAGTTATCTATATAGAAGTAGCTAAGTTTGTTTTCTTAATTTTGAATTATATCATTAATCAAAATGTGTAACAAAAACAGTCAAGATATAATCAAAATTACAAGAGTAGACTAAACCAGTTTTCATAAGAACATGCTAGCACATTTTAAGACTAATAAACATACAAAGTAAAAATGTGTTAGAAAAAACATTTAAGAGCTGAAATAATAATTTCAGATGCAAACACATTAATAATAAAAACAGTATCTGGATGTCTTTCAGCATATTTTACATTAATAATTTATGAAATACAATGAGAAATGTTTCTTGAAGTCTCCTTTTCGTGACATCTTACAGCTTAATATAACTTCTCATGTTCTAAGATCTAATTCTTATGATCACAATTACTTTCACCACTGACATTTTCTAGTTTTAAGTTCAAACCAAACTGGTTCAATGAATATGATACTTCATTATAATTTTTAGTAGTAAATATAAATAGGCTTACTAATTGTAATATACAACTATGAGAGACTTGTATTCTCCAATTAGAATTAAAATTCCAAATGCTAAGTTACTATAACTTATGCATATAATTATTCTATTTCAGCCTTGATCATAAGTCTTATTCACTTAATACAATATTATAATTTAGTGAAACGTTTGATAATTTAATAATTACTTTTGTATTATCTATCTTAAATAGCTCCCATTTTCATCTTTTTTTGTTATTTGAAACTTTACAACATGAAACAAATATTACAGTAATACAAAACTTGCATGAAATCAAATGAAAGCATATGTATAGTCAACATTGTAATAGTTAGTATCCCATAAGATTTCCATTGGGGGAGGAAATACACAACATTCGCTGTGAATATAGATTCCAATAGACCGAAGAAACAAACATAGAGATCAACAAAAGTTAGAATTCAGGAGTATAATAGACATACAATACCAATCTATCAAATAGCCCATCATGTCAGAGAAGAACAAATGATTTAGTTTAATAGTAAAATAATAGTATATGAACTAAACAAGAAAAAAAAGTCAACAGAAGCCTAAAACTGATAATCCACTCAGTCAACCTAGTATAGATGTCAGCAAAACCTGGATAACTCTCTTCAAAACATTAAAATACAGGTATACCTGCTATAATGTGACATTTTTTAATGCGGATTTGCAGTTACGTGGTTTATTTTTTAGTACCAGAATTGCTGTAACATGCTGTATGATTTGGAGTGACATAGATTTCAAATACAAAAAAATGCAAAACATACATGCAATTATCCTGTGAAACAACCATGCCAATCCTATCAGAAAGTTTATGTACGCAAAACCCGAAGAAGCATTGACTCAAGAGTTTCTGGAATGCTAAGCAAGCAACATTGGATTCCTTCTTTGAAAAGTAACAAAATTCAGCAGAAGGTGTTAGAGTAGTAAAAATTCATTTTTAATAACCAGTCTTGCTTGTAATATTTGTTTCTTTACATTAATGAATATCAATATATGTTGTAAAAGTGGTTTATACCACTAATAAAATTGACTTTAAGGGAAAAATAATTTTGCAGGAATGCATCCCTGACTTATAACATTGTTCCTATGGGTAAAAACCTTCATATTATAACACGTGTTTGTATGACACGTCATTTTGTAGGAATACATTCCACATGTTATAGCAGGTATACCTGTACTTTCTTGATTCAAGATAGGGGAGACCCCAGTTGAGTAAATATCACATTGGACATCCATTAAGAAGACCCAGGATTAAATCCCAGCCAATATTAACACCGAAATAGTCCTCCTCCTGACTTCCCTGAAGGCAACAGCAGACAAGTAACTAAAACATACGATAAAACTACTTAACTATTAGTATTTAGTTATAAAAAACAAATTAGATCCTATTAACAATCAGACTCTGGTGACTATATAGGCTACTAACCAAAACCAACAACAGATATCCAATTGTCACAACATGAATACAACCAACATCAAAATAGCTCTTAATACACCATAGTTAATTCTATAGATTCAACTCCTGTCTTAATTTAAATTTCAAACATTATGAGCTTAATTAAGTAACACTCAGTAAATGGTTAGAGTCCAGGCTTGGAAAAAAGACAAGCCAGTAGAAATGGCTAACATTCTGAGTTATACTACAGCATGCACACAGTTGGCAGTTCATTTAAACTACATGCTTCTTCAACAACAAACCTATAGATACATTATTTATCAAACTTTAACACCACAACTTGAAATTACACTAAAATCATTAACAGATTAGCTCAGCATTATGACATTTAAAATAAAAAGGGGTAAAAAATCCTCAATCCAACTTTATGTTATTACAAATTCATTAAAACAGCTCCTCAAAATTCATTGGAAAACAAGTGATCTCATTCTCATTATTAGTTACAAATCAAAAATAGGCTGAATATTACGGGGAATGCAGTTTAAAACTATCAGTAAGAAAAAAAATGTAAAAATTAAATTGTGCATAAAGCTCAAAAGATACATAATTTCTTGATAATCTCTCAAACTGAAACTGCACTAAGTATCTGTACATTACAAATTAATGAAATATGTACCAAAGGATACTAGTGATTAATTTACAAGAAAATTGTATTAAGATATCTGAAACTATGATTTACACAAGAGACAGGTTTATTGTTCGTAATTTGTGAACTTATGTCACTGAACAGAGCAATTCTATTACAGTAGTACAGTAACTTTTCTACTGCATGATCCATAACTTTTGAAAACCATTCGGTGAAAACAGTATTGTACTGTGATTAGATATATTATTAGGTTAAATGTATTATTATTATTATTCATGTACAGAAACATTTCACAATAATTAAAAATATTATTCTGTGAAATACCTGTTTATCATTTCCAATTTGTCTTAATGCCTGTGAACAAAACTGCCTAGTTCGGTCTACATCCAATCTTTCACTTAGATCATAAGCTTGCTTTCCATCTTCCAATCTCATTGCTACTCCCTGAAATAAATATCATATTCTTAATATTGC